AAACTTATCTATAAGTAATTATTTTTCTACATACTAATATTCATGTTTTACCTAACTTTTTCTTAATCTTAATGTTTATCTTTTCTACTTATTATTATCTTAGTTTTTTTTATAGTTTGCGTACCTATTATCTTGTTTATTATTTATATTTTAAACTTATTTCAAATAATTAGTCTATTAATTAATCTATTTCTGATCAAATTCCAATAATTTGGAAACACGTTATTGTTATACATATCTCAAAACCCGAAAAGGAAAAATGAATCACAGAAATTTACTAAATACAATGTTCAAAATTCTTGAAAAAAAGCATTGATACCTGGTTGAGATAGTTTCTTGATATTGATAAAATAAATTATTTTTCTCTCTAACAAACTGGTTGTCGCAAAAATCGAAGCACATTCAACAATCTATACACGTCATTCAAAACGAACATTTTAAAAACAAACCAGTTCTATGGAAATTTCCCTCGATATACCAAAAGCATTTAACCATATTATGGCATAACCTGGGGCCTTCGGATACTACTATGGATACTGTTTCTCTGCACCAAAATATCACAAATTGAAACTTCAGTAGCATTAGAGCCCAGTTTGAAATCGCAGAAAATCTTGATAAAGCACTGAGTCCACATCCAGTGACAACATCAATATTGTTTCAAATATTTAAAATAAACTAAATTGTACATTCCAGTATCTTTATACTAAATAATTCAAAATTCTTGAAAATACCATTGATACTCGGTTGAGATAGTTTCTCGGTAAAATAAATTATTTTTCTCCCCAACAAACTGGCTGTCACAAACAAGTATACAGAAATCTACACGTCATACAAAACGAATATTTTAAATACTTCAGAAACTAAACCAGTTCTAAGGCTAGTCTCCCCCGATATACCAAAAGCTCCGCCAAAAGCAGTTAAGCATATCATATCACTACCTGGCTCCCTCTGATACTTGCCGTTTCTCTGCACCAAAATATCACAAATTGAAACTTCAGTAGTATTAGAGCCTAACTTAAATTGCAAAAAATTGATCCAAAAATTTGATCCAGATCCAGACAACACCAAAATTGTTTTAAATTAACTAAATGTACAGGAAAATATCTTTACAAAAATACAATGTTCAAAATTCTCTGAAAAAAGCATTGATACTCGGTTAAGATGGTTTCTCGATAAAATAAATTATTTTTCTACCTAACAATCTGGTTGTCACAAAAATCGAAGCACATACCTACAAGTATATAACAATATATGTACACGTCAATCAAAACGAAAATCATAAGAACCACCGAAACCAAACCAGTTCTAGGGCTAGTTTCCCTCAATATACCAAAAGCATTTATAACCATATAATGATTTATGACACTACTTGGCGCCCTCAGATACTACTATGGATACCGTTCATCTGTTACAAAATATCACAAATTGAAACTTTAGTATCATTAGAGCCCAGTTTGAAATCGCAGAAAATATTGATGAAAAATCGAGTCCAGATCCAACAACACCAACATTTTTAAAAATATTTAAAATTATACAAATTGTACAGCTAGGCCCGTATCTTAATACTAAATACAATGTTAAAAATTCTCGGAAAAAAGCATCGATACTAGGTTGAGATAGTTTCTCGATGATAAAATAAATTCTTTTTCTCCTTAAGTAACTGGTTGTCGCAAACATCGAAGCACATACAAGTATACAATACAATCTACACGTCATTCAAAACGAACATTTAAAAAACCTCCTAAACCAAACCAGTTCTAGCCGTTCTAGGGCTAGTTTCCCTCGATATAACAAAATCATTTAACTATATTATGATACTACCTGGTGCCCACGAATACTACCGGATACCGTTTCTCTGCACCAAAACAACACAAATTGAAACTTCAGTATCATTAGAGCCCAGCTTGAAATTGCAGAAAATCATTATGAAGCACCGAGTCCAGATCCAACAACACCAACATTTTTAAAAATATTTAAAATTAACTTAAATTGTACAACCTAATGTAACAGGTCAAATTGTATGTATCATAATCGTACTATAAAGTATAAACCATAATATTGTTGTTGCGGCTTTAAATAAAAAAAAAAACTATTCTATTTCGGTTTTTTTGTATGATTGTAACACTTATAATTTACAAATTACAGTATTATATATAATAGCCGTCCACACAATATAATAATATAATAAAATATAATTTATCGTGGCGATTCGTCCCGGGCAACGACGAGATGTCATTTAATATAGCAATAATACCGTATGTCTGCGAAAACTGGATACACTCAATAATTCACTTACCTACCTAAATTACTCAGAAGGTACCCTACACATATTTTAAAATTTTATTAGCGATTGATGATTCATGGCCAGCAACAGAATTAAAAAATAGAGTATAGAGTACAGTCTGCAGTATACACATGGTTAGGGTTTTAAAATTTCATGAAATATTTGATTTTGATGAAAAATAAAAATAAAATGTTTATTATATCTAAAAGTTTATAGTCGACCGGCGTGTTATCCCGTGAGATTTGCAGCAGTATATTATTGCGGACCACGTACCTACTGTTTGTACCGGATGGAAGACAAAACGAAAGCTCCAAAATCGTATCATACGAAAGCCCAAAAATAATAGATATCTGTGTGCCATGCTTAATAGATATTACATTTAGAACTATATATTATATTTTAATAATTTATTATTGACAATTTTGGATAAGATCGAAAAATCAAATGATTTATTAAAAATATAATTTATTATTTTCTATTATATTTATTGACGATTTTTATAAGATTGATATTTTTAAATAACTATTTATATAAACCATTAATTTTGGCGCAAATGATATGCCATTTTTACACTATTGGTGCTTATGTCATATTATAGCCGTGTTTTTAAGTAAGTTTATAATTTAACTCTAAAATATCAAAGTTATACCAAGTTTTTTGTTTATACTTAATTCTGATACAGCGGACACGTTATTAATTTCATCTTCGACTATATTGTTCCTAGATAAGCGCTTCCTCTTAACACCATTTGTTGAGCTGCCAAGGTTTGATTTCCTCTTTTTATTTTAATAAAATTCTTCAAAATTAACAACTAAAACTACAACAACCATAATCAAGCAACCTTACAATGAACAAAAATATATTATTATTTAGTTTATTTTTTTCCTGTACAGATGGCGCCACTGTTGTATTTTTGACATCCAGATTTTCTACTTTTTTTTTTACATTTTCTTTCATAAGAACCTTGTCCTGACAATAACGAACATAACAAAATTCCGGCCAAGTGCGAGTCGGACTCGCGCACGAAATGTACCATCATCAGTTATAAACATGTTGGCAACACTGTTTGTATTATATATTCTAGGATTTTTAGTATTTGTTGTTGTAGCATCGACAGAAATACATAATCTGTGAAAATTTCAACTTTCTAACTTTCATGGTTCATGAGATACAGACTGGTGACAGACGGACGGACAGTGGAGCCTCACTGTAATAGGGACCCGTTTTATCGTACGGAATCCCTTAAAAAGAATCAGCCAAATCGGTCAAGCCCTTTCGGAGCCAACCCGTGACACAAAATCTGGACTTACTTTTATAGTATAGATGTAATTTTCAAAATATTTATATTCGTTTTAAGCCATTGAATATTTATACCGCGAAGTACAAACCTATTTAGTATTTACACAGTTCTTATAGGTAAAACGATATTGACTCAAAATGTAATAAGTAACAATAATGTATATGATAATTGATATTAATCGTTATTAATTAATGTGCACTAATAATTATTAATAATATAATAAATGCGATGTTTACGGCAAAAATTAATTCAATCTTAGTAATAAAATTAATTTACTAAGAGCAATATGAACATATAAAAAAAATGTACTTAGTTTAGGCTATAGCAGGCCACAAAGATGTGTTCAGAATCGTTTTGCGAATGCAATGATTTATCATTGTAATCAAATTCAACACATCTCCATTAAAGTAATATCTACTCAATCACGAGATATACAGGCAAAACTTACTGTACAGTAAGGTGTTTTTAAAAAAAATTTATTTTTTGTAGTTATACTTAAACTCGAAAATGTATAATGTCTATAAATTTGAAAATATATCACGTATAGAAAATACTAATATAAATGTTTGATGAAAAACTCAAATCTCTATATTATGGTTGCAAAAACCACTCAAACATCATTGTAAAACCAATACAATCGTCGCACCGCTCAAAATATGATATTAAAATCTCTAATTCTGCCCATAAATCAAAATTGTGTACTAATGAAATGTTAAATATTACATTAATTTGATATTAAAATGGAGCAAATAACAAGTGAAACAATAAATCCACATAGACAGTTATATTTATCAATAATAAAAAAAAAATAATAATGTTACAATTTAATTTTACTATACATTTACCAACAGACATCAAATAGACATATACACCTATAATATCTATTGATATAGGTACATACTATAATATTATAGTATTTATCAATGTTTATTGAATTACAATCATATTGATTTATGTTGCATCAAATACATCAAATCAGTTCTTTTCCACTTCGCTACTTTAGGTAAAAAAAAAAAAAAATATATAATATAATAATAATAATAATATATATACATCGTATATAAATAACATATTATGGTTTTTAAATAACATACAATGTACATATTCAATCGTGAAATTTGCAGTTACGATAAAATGAAAACAAATCAATCTCGAACCGACAATAGTAATCATGTGTGTCTACAATATTTTTGTTCTAAGTATAAAACTACTTAAATTCCGTGTAATTCAAAAAGGAATCTAATAAAAACTGTTAAAACATACAACAAATAAAAAATAATGTAATTTTTCGTGATCTCTTTGCGAAGAAATCGTTACAAAAACGTCCGCGGGAGATCATCGCTATTTGGTGTGCATAATAATACATCGATACGCGTACACAATACTTTGATAGTTACGTATAATTATATGATATTATTATTGTCTGTCCTTGGCATTTCCGTCCGACTCGTCGACGAGACTCTCTAGGTCCACGTAGCTGCCCTCAAACTCTGGGTTTTCCAGGAGTGCACCCAGCTCTTGTTTTAGCTCGCCGAATGTGGGTCGTTTGGACGGGTCGGCCGCCCAACACTTGGTGATCACCCTGAACAGTTCGGATCGACAATGCGCCGGTTTGTCCAGCCTGTAGCCTTCGCGCACGCGTCTCATTACTTCGCGGGCGCCCATCGTGCAGTAAGGGGTTGAACCTATAAAAGAGTGAAAGAAATGTTAAGATATGTGCCTAAGGTATGTTGTACCGATAATTTTGGGTTATCCGTAATAATATATAGATATAGTATAGCAGTGGATATGACCTGGATAGGTACATATATTATACTACGTCTACATGTAATAACAATAGGGGTTTTAAGTCACAGACGCAGCATCACTAAAAACGGCGGTGACGTGGCGAAAAACGCGAAAACAAAATATATCGTATTATGTATATATGTATATTATATGTGAGTAAACATTAATTATGTATTAAGTTTTTTTGTGAAAATCAAAAGGCAGATACTTCAGATTCAGAGCCGATGAGTTACGTTGTCCGTAACGTACATACGAATATACGATTGTACGAATATAACTCGGGGTCGGGAATTGAAATTAGTTTAAAACTATTTAAGTATTTAACTATAGGTCTAGTTAGTAGTTAGTAGTTACAGACATGTATTTATTAAATCGAATTTGTGATTGAGAGTAAGTTTGTATTCAAACTTATTTTAAAAACCATTTTTCCGAAATTTGTTTTATTATACTATTTTTGATTGATCTGCATTTATAATTTAGATCAAATCATGCCTCCTCTAAATTTTTTTTCTTAATCAATTTTAGAAAAAGATTTATCTGCAAACATAATTTTCGTACATTTGTGTAGCCGATCTATATCTTACAAAAGAATCACCAAGAATAATCAATGTATCTAGATATATAAACGTGAATATTTCTTTGTGCGCTATAGACTCAACAACTACCGAGTCGTTTTTAATAAAAGTTATATCAATAGATTTCTTGAGACTCGGTAGGGGGGGAGAGGTTATTTTTTCTAACCCATTTTGGGCGCTAGGTATAGTGTGGCTCACATAGTCACACATGATAATAGTTTTTACTCACAAAAACCGAATATGTTTGTGTTTTCTAAACTCGAACAACCAACTAGTATCAAAAATTGCATTTTATCATAATTATTTTAATTACCTAATAATTTAAAATAAAGCCAGAAAGACTGCTGTGATATTGGTGGCACTGGCAGTAGGCACTATCATTTTGGACATTAATGGTGCCATCGAATATTAAAGATTCATTATGGAATTAATTTAAACATTTTTCTTTCAGAAAAATTAGTTTTACGAATTAATTAAAAAGAATAACCGCAAAGTTAATCTTACAAACGTCACTATATTGCTCACCTAGAGTGACGATCTCCCACATCAGTACACCGAAGCTCCACACGTCAGTCTTGTATGTGAATATACTATAGTGCAACGACTCTGGTGCCATCCAACGGATAGGCAAAGCACCCTGCAAATTAAAATATTAATATAAAAACGGTTTTATACAAAACAATTATATCATTATTCCAGTAGATGTTGGGGCCGTACCTTGGTATGTCTTTGCTCGTAGATCTGGTTGGTGTCTCGGACATTGCGAGACATACCGAAATCGGCTATTTTGCATAACTTATTGTGGTCGACCAATACGTTTCTCGCGGCCAAGTCCCTGTGCACTATCTATTAGAACAACATGATCAATTAATATTAGTATTCAATATAATATGTAAGCAGCGGTTTGTGAGAAAAACTCAATTCAGTTAATTTAATTTACGTTTTATTAAGCGCACCAAGAGGTAGGATGATTAATTGGCTTCAAAACTTACCACTGGAATTAATTTCAAAATTGTTTAGTGTAGCTTACGTATTATTACAACTTATTAAAAGTTTAAATCTTATAAATAGGAAGTGTAAAATATTATACGTCATTAATCAATATGCATACTCTTTAGTACAAAAAATAAACGAATTGATCAGATATTCTACACCGATTAACAACGTGCTTATTGGTACGCTTAAACATTTCGATATTTATGTAAATAAAATAACACAGTTCGTACTTTTTTCGAGACCAGAAAATCCATTCCTCGTGCTACGCAATATGCAAACATGGTTAAATCTCTAGACGTGAGCGAAGCAGTCGAGTCGCTAAAATTAAAATAATGCGATCGTGTCCGCCGATCTCTAAGGAACGCCAATAGTTTTCCGTACATAACGTACTCCATGATCAGTAAATACGGTTCTGCAACAAACACGAAACGATAATGGTATAATAATATTATGGTTTTCACTTGTAACAACTGTGCAGTAAAGAAAAAATACATGTACTCATAAGATTATATCCTATGCGTATTATTTACCTTTCTCCGTACAGCATCCCAGCAACGTGACGACGTTCGGATGCGACCCAAGATGTTGCATAATACTCAGTTCTCTGATCAGATCTTCTCTCTCCCGAGACGCCGCGTCCTCCTTGACCATTTTCACCGCGACGAGCCTGGTTAGGCCCTCGTGTCCGTTAATGTCGTCCGCCTCGGCCTTCCACACCTGACCGAAATTGCCTTGACCGAGTATGGTCTGGAGCCGCAGCTTTTCCCGGGGGAACTCCCAACGGCTGTTGCTCATCGGCACCGGGACGGCGGGCGTCTTCTCCGCGTCCCACACGATGTGCTGCGGGACCCTGGGAAGTTTCGTGGTGATGGGCGACGACGTAATAGTGTTGAAGTCCAGCGGGCTGCGGTTGTACTCGGAAGAATATTCCGAACTGTCAAACACCTTCTTCTTTTTTCGCCGCATGGCCAGCTTGAACGCGAAAACAATTACTAATACCAACGGAACGATGGCCAAAAACGTTAAAAAGTACACGGAAGTGGCTAGCCCGTCTGGATACACTACACCCACATCGTGTTCGGCCGACGGCCTGGTGACGTTGCCACGCTGTAGCAGAGGCCTCCTCTGACGGGCTTCGACGGCTGCGTCGACTGTGGTTGTGGTGTGGGCGGTGGAGGCAACCGTGGCGGTGACATCAGTGGCGATATAGTCGGCAGGCGCTTCCGACGTACCGTTGTTCAAGTAGATGAAATCTTGCAAGTCGGTGGGAGGTGGCTGAGGGTTGTCGGTGGAAGACCGGTCGCCGGTTGTGGACGCGTCCAGCATTTCGGTGATGCCATCGACTGGATTATCCGGGGATGACGGACTGGAAGCCGACGCAAAGGCGGAGGTGGCTGTCGTTGCGGCGGTAGTGGTGGTGGTGATAATGGTGGTGGTGGTAGTAGTGAAGGCCGTGGTGGGAGCTATGGACGCAGCTCCGGCCACAGTCGTGCCGTTCAACCGTCTCTGGTTGACTTTGGTGATCTCCAAGTATTCGGGCAGCGATATGTTCCGGTACCGGTTTCGGAGGTATTTTGGGTACGCTGACACCGCGGAGTCCGGACTCGCTGTAGACGTAGGCGGTCCGGGGTTGTACGCGCCAGTCGCGTCGTCACCATTGTTGGCGTCTGGGCGGTGGTTGTCGATGGAATGACGACCTAGGTCAGCTGTCGAATCGTTTCTCTTCTGTGGGCTCCCCCTGACCGACACTGACGTGACGACAGTTGATAGTATTCTCGTGGTCCTACCATCCGATTCCGTCAAGCACCGCACGTCCCTCCTCGCCCGCGTTTTGTTGTTCCGTCTGCTGAACCTCGGGTACAAGCACTCCACTGCTGCCGAGTTCTCCGTGGGTCGCCTGGTCGTGGCCACAGTACTGTGGTTGCGGTTATGTGGTGGTGGTCCGGGGGCTCTGGTTCGGGGAGTAACGTCCTGCATCACTTGCTGGACGACCACCGGCAACCTGACTGACGTTCGGGTCTCCGAGTCCGACGGCGCGTTGAGCCCGTCTACAGTGGACTGCGGGGACGGCGGCTGCGACAGTGCCGGGTGTCTGATCTTTTTGCCAAAATCGTAGTACGATTCTTCTTGAGGTGACGACACGGCCGCAGTCCGGAGTGCCCTGGCCGTGCTCGAGGACGGCACCAACAACCGCCTACGGGTCTTGATCCGGTCCGGCCGCTTGGACGTGGCGTTTCGCACTTCGGATCCTTGGGCCTCGGGTTCATCCCATGTCCGCTTGTGTTTGATCTTCTTCTTGACGCGGGGCATAGACGACTCGTTGACATCCGGCAGCACGTCCAGCGGCGAAACCGGCCCGGATCCTGCCCGGTGATGTGGCGGCGTCGTCGTTCTCCTGAGAGCGCCGATAACCGACCTGGTTGTTGCGTTGCGCTGCCGGCGGTAGTCGGCAACGATTCGCCCGTCGTCAGCCGGCATACTGGTAGGAATCACCACCATCAAGTCATCTGAAAAACCAATAGATTGTTGTTAGGACGGTTTTGTACTAGCGACTCGCGAGTATAATATTATATAGTAATTATTATTGTATTTGTCTAATGTATCTATATAGAACGCGATCGCTTATAAATTATCGATTAGTTATTATATTTTTCATAATAACTGTTATGAGTCAGATAGACATAATATTATGTTATAATATATATATATATATAGTGTCTATATTCATTACGACCTGCAAAATACCCTAGTAACAATAGATAGAATACTAAAAAATAAGTATGGAATGAAGCTGAACAAAAAGAAAACAAAAATTATGGTTTGCAGTAAAACTAATCCGGTTCGACTCAACATAAATATCGGAAATGAACAAATAAAGCAAGTGCAACAATTCACATATCTAGGAAGCAATATAACAGAGGATGGTCGCAGCAAAACAAATATAATCTGTAGGATAGCACAGGCGAAAAGAGCATTTCAAGACAAAAGCCACATATTAACTACCAATAGTGTTAGCCTGGAAATAAGGAAGAAATTCCTAAAAAGTTATATTTGGAGCGTAGCGCTCTTTGGATCCGAAACCTGGACAATAAACTCAACGGAAAAAAATAGGCTAGAAGCCTTTGAGATGTGGTGCTACAGGAAAATGCTCAAAATACCATGGACTGAGAAGGTAACGAATAAAGAAGTACTAGACAAAATAAAGGAACAACGACAAATATGGAAAAGTATTCAATCTATCAGGCAAGATGATAGGACACATTTTAAGGCATGAGAGTTTATTAAAGAAAATAATTGAAGGAGATGTTGAAGGACACATTGCAAGAGGAAGACCAAGAACAGAATACATGACACAGATAATGCAGGATACGAACAAGGGAAGTTACAAAGACCTGAAGGAATTGTGCTACGATAGAGAAGCATGGAGAGCTGCAACAAACAAATCTACGGATTTATAACAAAAAAAAAAATATTCATTAATACTTAATTTATACACCAAACTAATAAATGTAGTGAAAACTACAGTGTGGTCAGAAAGTTGGAAATATCAAGTGTCTTAATATAATAGAATACAGACTTTAAAACGCATTTTAAAATCAATATCTTACAAAACAAAATGTCTAGAACATTTTAAATAAATTATTCGTTAACCGACAATACTAATTATACAACATATTATGTTGTATTATTACCAATTTTACATTATGTGCGTGTGTCCCAAATGTCCCATTATACGTCTTACAACATATGTATTTTATAATAGTGTGTTAACGAAAAGAACTCCGGCATTTAAATGTAAAAATAATCGAACGTCGTATGCGTGAGAAAAATATACCAATGAATTGTAAATCGTTAAATTTGTTATAGACTATTATACTATAGCTGCTATATAGTGACAGGCAGACGGCGACAGCGCTGTGTTTTGTATGGCCCTGGACAACATTTTATGATTTTGGTCGTTGTGGTTTCAATCAATCAACAATATTATACTTTTATTTTTAATTTTTTCGTTCACGGAAATGCTTATAAATATAATATTATATAAAACACACAAACGCGGGGGCTATTAAACCTGATATACAAGCCGTGATGGGCCCTATTCGAATGTCCCATCGTTTGTCCGCGGCCGTCATTGACAGTAGGCAATCGTGTAGAAAAGCAATTAACCGAAGAACTTCAACGATTTGAACAATTTTAATGTACATTAGGCGAATGTCTGACGTATGGGTCAAATAAAACAGCATTAGTTGGTCAACTGTGATGATAACAGGTCTAGTGACGCCCGACGCGAGTCGAGACTGGGTGCGACCGGTTTATGCCTCATATCACTTTCTCCCGCGATCTGTTTTTTTTATTATTATTATTATTATTAATATACACTATTATTATACAAACGGATATAGAAAGTATACAAAACTTTACACCCATCGGTTCTTTAAAAATAAAAAATTGTATGACCGGTTGTAATCTTCTTTTCAGGTCAAAATAGTGAATACAAGAACAAAAAAAAAACCGGAATTTTACGACGATGAAACTTTATACGTATAACACTATTATGTTCAACTATATATATATTATAAATAATACACTTAAATCGGAGTAACGCCACGAAGACGCCAAATGCTGTCGATAATTAGATATTTTAACGACCTGGTATGTGCGAGTACATTTCAATTTTAACGACTTCCTTCCTGTCATTTTTTTATAATTATTGGCAGTCCTGTGAGTTGTGGGCACACACCAAACGACAACCAGTCTATATATCGCTTACAATCAGTTTCATGATGTAGCGCGTCGCATTCCACGTCGTATTGAACTATATATACACTATCGGAATTGGATAAATATTGCGACAAAAACCAATTGTCGTCTATAGATTCAGATGTCAATGGTTTTACACAATTGTGTTTTTATTGCACGTTTAAATGCACTCAAGTCCGATTACATAATTTCAAATTGTATTTTTTTTTTTTACATAATCGATAGGTAGATTACCGGATATCGATAATAGTTCACGAGTTGGGTGCACACGAGTGACAATAGATTTAACTCCATTTCATCAGTTCTTTTTTCTTTCCATAAGAATCAGACTTGATAGACACGCGTATAATGATTTGTACGTTTATACATATATACTAGACGGTTCGGAGGTATACCTATTTACAAAGAATGACATGTGAAATAAACATTACACAAAGTTGCAAATTGTTCATCATGTATGCTATAATTTTAAAACACATTAATTTTTGTACAATACATTGAGATATATTCAAAAATTGTGCAACAATGATTCGTCTCTTTTTTGTGTTATATTATTTTGAAAGCAAACATTATATAGTTGTGTAAATATATCAACTCCAAATAGGGATGATGCAGGAAGCTATAAAAATTAAAAACAGAAATAAAGTGCTTAGAAAGTTTGGTAGTCATAAATTATAATGAACACTATTATAGTATAACTATTAACTATACCTAAATATTATATTATATATTATGATATTTAGATAAGAGTAAAGACGCCTAGGTATATAGACGATTAATGAACATAGAAAATAGTCACATAATTTCCATATAGTAAGGCAAAAACAAGACAACGTCAATAGCGTCTATTAATTTTTATCCTGCACTCTATTATATAAGAAAATTATAAACATGATACATATTAGTATATTACATATATAATATACAAATCATTACACTATTACATAAGAAACGTAAGACTAATTTAAACTGTTTTACTATACATAAATAATCTATATTTAACTTAAACGTAGAAGTTGTGTTGAATAACATTTCATATTATGAGTTTTAATATCATTCATTAAAACTGAATTTTTTTTTTAACAGCGTAGGTACACCAAGTCCAATAAAATTCAGTTTGAACGTTGTACTGTTGTACTTACCTACTACTTTTCAATAGTATACCATAAAAGTGTCTTATATTACTTTTTTTAATATTTTAATTTGTAATAAGATTTGATTTAAAATCTTATAACACACTGCAATCAGGCCATCAATTGAACTAAATAGTAAATTCAAAATGATGTGTTTAATTGATTTTGAAGTGTATGACTAAACATAAATTAGTTTATATACTTTCAACATTGTCTGACTTATTTACTTTGCTTAAATTATTGTTTAATATTACATTTTGGTGGGTATACAGATTGATCGATTTGAAACGCTCTAGATTAATGTCCTTGAATACACCGTATCGAAAAATGTATAGCATTATAATAATATACCTATGAGTATGGTGTATACAAATAAAAATAATTAATGTATTAATTTACATAAAAACACATATTTGGTGGTAAAAAAAAAGAAGTTTTAAAGTCGTGGCTATCAATAACATTAATATTAATAAATCTCATTAGACTAAGTTGGTCATAGGTAACAAAAAATCAGCACATCATTGTATTGCCGCTTGGAATCTATATAAAACTATGCGTACCAACAGGTTACAGAAACTGGCCATTGGGCACTCGTCTCGCTTCGCTCAACTCGGTGAAGGTCAAAATATTGTTATTTTAAATTTTAAAGCCACTAAAATTAATTATATCACTTTCATATAAAACAATAAATTTCAAACAGATCTCGATTAATCTTAAAATGTTCGAGATGTAATTTTAAAGGTTGCTTACATTTTTATTTTCAGAGAATATCGAAAACGAAACAATATTATATAAACTACTACTTACAGGTACCTAATATTTCTACACTATAGACAAACAAACTTTTTGATCGAATTAGAGGCAAAAAGAGCCAAATAGGTATTGCAGAAGAAAACCGTTGACACGATTGTAAAATGAAATATCTGAATCACTCAGCTCAGAAATAAAAATAAAATGATTATAATATTTATGGCCTTATAGGTAGGAACTACTAACTAGGGACACAATAGGTAGCAGTAATATATGATAATAATTTCCAAACGTTTTGTATTTTCAACTAATTTCTAACGCATCCAGTTAAATAGTTGATATCATTAAATGGAATACTACATCGTTTAAATTCAAATATTTTGTGTAGTGTGATAAAAATATACCATTTATGTATAACTGTAACGCACATTTTTAGTTGTCACACGTGATTGTCATTTGTTGACGATTTTGCAATTCATTTTCTCTTATCGGTTCTTACGATAGTAATCGCTATTGAATAATAATTCGTCAGGTGAATTTAAGTTCCACCGTCACTGCATTGTGTAGGCTCCGTTAACAATCAATTTGTCCGATCGATACGACTGTTGGGCTAAGTATACATATATAGGTAGGTATATACGTAGTCTGTTATGGAGCCACGCCGACCTTGTTTTACGAATAATTTAATTCGATCGATCGATCGAAAAACCACCTCAATGTAGACGTCGAAGTCTCGATATAATATAATTCTATTAACGTTTCTCAATCGCGAGATTATTGATCCAGTTTTTTTTCTCCTTTTCGTTATTCTTATAACTAGGGTGTACGTATACACGCAAGCCGACAATCGGTGGCACGTTCTA